CCCAAAGCATTTCATACAAAAATTTCTACAACAATCCCCACTGCAACATAATTTATTATATTTGTCGGTTTCGGCGAATTCTCTAAAGCATTTCTCGCAGATGTAGGTCATGGTCGAAGGTTAAATTTGCAATATTTAACTGGGTCGGTGATAGTAAACAGCAAAAGTATGAATAAACAAATCTGGTATAAACTTACAACCAGTTTAGTCGTATCCACAACACTCCAAAACAATAACAATAACAAACAAACACAATTGAATAAGCCGACCATGATAACAAAACAATACAACTAAACACAACAACGATCGAAGACTGACTTCTTTTTGTTGTACTTCTTCCCTATACAGATTCCAGTAGGTCTTGTGATTGTGCTGTTTTGCTGGTGGTTCTTTTTCAGTGAATCTTGAATTTAGCGTCGCTATTACTGGGGTATGGTTCGAAACAATTTCATAATTAAGTACAATATTTAGGCAGCCTTCTCCAAAGCCTTCGCTTACAAAGAAATATCAAAACAGTCAGGAAGTTTACTGGAGTCGCTTGGCCAGAAAGTGGGTTTTTAAGTAGATTAGTGTTAGAGCTGGAGTTCCTGCATCACTTGAAAAAGGATTCTACCTCTACCTGGTGGAGACAGTTGAGAGCCCCAACTTACATGTTTTACAGCATTATAGTCAGCACCGGTAAGAATTCTATTACCTAGTGCATTAAAATAATTAGTAAATGATTCTTTCATCGGCGGATAGTTTGGTGGGAGATATGCTACAGATATTGCTATTGCTCCAAGCCAATCTTCTATGATAATACTTGCTGCCTGCAGATGTGGGTCTTTTATGTTACCAAGGTGATCCTGTTTCATTCCTTTTCAAATAATAACAGCTGCACCTACTCTAACATGCCTTTAAGTATCAGGGTGGGAAATTTAGTAATATATTAATAATATTTCTAACAGAAAGTATTGTAATTCGTTTGTCTGATTTGCTACTCCATTTCCATTCCAGAGTACTACCTTAAATAACTCACCCATTAATTTTCGGAGTAATTGCATGGTTGGATTCCTCCCATAGTGCTCTGATTTCTTGTGTATGTTCTTGTTGTGTAAATAATGATGACATTACTTATCTAACTTGATCCTGTCAAAGTTTGATGTCTCCGCCGGCAGCAGTTTTTTTCCCATTTCTTTACGGAGGAGGGAAAAATGTTGTCATGGCAACAATATGAAACATGTCACAAAGCAACAATACAAATGTCATTAACAACAATTAAACATCATTTTTATTTATAGTAATATTAAAAGTACAATTAGTTAATAAGGCATTTTCAAAATTGAAATCGTGTAAAAATGTTCCCGACTCTTAATACGCATTGGTAATTGTTGATGATACTGATGGTCGAGAACAACTTTCAGCAATCATTCCCGATGTTGGCGAATCATGAGGGTTTAAAATTTTTTAAGCATTATCGTTCTTATTTCTTATTGAATCCTCTATATATCCTTCGGCAACCGTGCTTGATTTCCAGCCCCCATGTCGTTTGAGGCATCCTAGATTTCCGCCTCCATCAATTAAAAGTGTTGCTCTTAGTTAAAAATTCGTCGTAAAGAGTGACCCGTGTTTGCGCTTGCATCGTTTAAATTTAAATAACTAGCTACTTTTTGGGCTACTGCGCTGATCGAATGTATTCCCATGACGCTTCGGTAACACTTTCCATGTTGGTACTTGATAAAAAATCGGTTTTCTGTGAAATTTTCAGGCCGCAGTGATGCATACTTTTTATACAGTTTAATGTAGTTTTGACCAATTATCGTGAACGATATAATTTGTCGTGTTTTACTGTCTGGGATTTTGATAATTATTACATTTTCTTTATCCTCAATATCCACAGTCTTCATTTTTACCATTTCGTCGCATCGACAGGCGCCGGTAACCCCAATTAACAAAACAATCTGAAATATTTTTATAATTTAGTAGAGTATATTACATGCTTTGAAATATAATTTTTTTACCTTTAATCCTAAATACAACTTATCTGGCGCTTCAAACATAAATTTATCAAACTCGTCTTTAGTGAAAACTTTAGACTTCTTTGCAGTATATCCTTCGCTTGTTTTTTTCAGAAAGGCACGTAACTTTAAAATTTTGCTTATATCCCCATTTTTTCTAATAACAAACTCGGTTTTTATCATAAAGTATCGTGACCACATTGTAGAAGATTTCCATTTATTTTCATTTTCCATTATATTAAAATATGCCAGTAAAACGTCTTCGGTAACTTGCCGTACTCCTCTTGTATCGCACCACTCTTGGAAGTGCTTGTACGCTAACCGATACTTTATTCCGGACTTGGAGGGCCCCAAACGTGCTACTGCATCATTAGCCGCGGACTCAATTTCGTTTAGGTTTTCCATTTTCGCACTAAATTTGCGCTTGCGGTTGCAACAACAATAAGCTGTCTTTAATAATTGCAAACAACTGTCAAAGAACTGTAACCAGGGAGACGCAAATCCCACCGACGACTTAATTATTTTAATTTCTAACATCTAGACGAGTTTGATAGTTGTCACAGTTAATTTCGAGTAAAAATAGCGTATGAATTGTACTATTTATGGTTGAAACTACGTTTGAAGAAAAAATAGTATACTTTATTCGGCAAAAAAGCGACTTTTCTTGACTTGCCCTCTATTACGCGCCTCACTTCGTTCGGCGCGTAATATCGGGCGCGTCAAGAAAAGTCATGCTTCTCCGCCTCATAAAGTAATATACTATTGTTGTTGCAGATACATGTTTTTTTGATTTAGATATAAAAAGATATCAGATGTAGGTATATTTTTGTGCATAATTTAATCCAGTTTTTGGTTGGGGCAGGCTTGACGTAGGTCTAGGACCAATATTTTGCTGTAATGTAGCTGGCGACAACCCTGTTCGTTTTTTTTTCTATAAGTTAGTCCTAAATAATTGTTTTGAGCTGCATCCAAACCATTCTCTCAGGTTCTCAAGCCATGAAATTCGTCTTCTTCCGATGCTTCTTCTGTCATCTATCTTTCGTTGCATTTTGAGTCGCAGGATGCCATACTTCTCGCCTCGCATCACATGTCCGAGATACTGTAGCTTTTTTTCTTTAATTGTATGTTCAGCTTCCTTCTCTTTAATTATTTTTCTCAGTACTTTATTGTTCGTAACTCTATCTACCCAGGAAACCCTCATAATTCTTCTATAGGTCCACATTTCAAAGGCGTTAAGTCATCTCATTGTGTCTATATTTAACGTCCATGATTCCACATTATACGTACATTTTGTTAGGCGTACTTTAAGAGCTAATGTTAAATCTTTGCCACATAGGACCATTTTCATTTTCATAAAATTAGAACGTGGCTTTTTCGATTCTGACTTTGATTTCTGCAGTGTAGTCATTATTTTCTGTTATAAGTGTTCCTAGATAAGTATACTTTTTTACTCTATCGATCTGCTGGCTCTCTACTATCAAGATTTCGTTAGCATTATGATTGTTTTTACAAATTTTCATAAACTTTTTGATATTGAGCGAGAGTCCGTATTCCTTTTACTTATTTTTACATTACTATTTTACTTATGCGTCTCTCTAGGTCTTGTAAACTATTGGCTATTATTACTATATCATCTGCATATCTGATGTTGTTAACTAAGACTCCATTTACTCTTATGCCGACTGTTTCATCTTCCAGAGTTTCTCGAATTAGCTCTTCAGAATAAGCGTTAAATAATGGAGCTGATAGTATGCAGCCTTGCCTGACTTCTCTCTTTATTTCCATTTCTTCATATGCCTCTTTTTCAATTCGTACTATTGCGCACAGATAGTAATAAAGGTTTGTTATTGGCCTTAAATCTGTTTCATCTAGGTTTTTATTTTTTAGAATTTCCATGAGTCGGTCATGTTTTATTTTATCAAACGCTTTATAAAACAGACTTAAAGAGGACGGTTAACATCCAAACATCTCTGTTTCAGCACGTTGGAGGAAAATAATGCCTCTCTGGTACCCATACCATTGCGGAACCCATATTGTGTGTCACTAATGTCCAGCTCCAGTTTAGAGTAAATTCTGGCCTTTCCATTTTTGTCGAGCAATATATTTGAGGTTCTTTTATTTCTTACTCCGTCTAATTCTTTGACTTTTTTATGTAGATTAAAGTTGTCATATTTGTTTTGCAGATCTTCTATTTTTTACATTTTTCAGAGAAGTAGACTTCTTTAGCCTCCCTAATTTTTCTTCTTATTTGGTTTTGAAGCTGTTTAAAGCGGATCATATTGATGGTTTTGTTTTTTCTCCTTTCATTCATCAACTCTAGAATTTCCTCGGTCATCCACTGGTTTTTCTTACATTTGTTTGTTGTTAATACTTTCTTACTTGGCTCCAATATAGAGGTTTTGAAGAATTACTACTGCTGCTCTACGCTGCAATCATTTCTTGGATTTCTATCCAGATTTGTGTTGATTTAGTGTTAGTTTCTGTATGTTAAGTTTATTGTTGTTGTGGCTTTTTTGCGTCTTTTTTAGTTGAATTTGAAACCTAGCAATAAGAAGACTGTGATCAGAGGATACGTCTGCTCCTGGATATGTCTTTACTGCCTGAATTGAGTTTCGATAGCTGTGTTTTATTAGGATTTCTGACGATTTTGTTGTCTTTGTCAGCTGGCGATTTCCATGTATAAAGGGGTCGCTTAGGTAATCTGAATTCGACTATGGACGACCGGTTTAGATCTCTAGAATTTTAACTTGTACCCTTACTAATTATGTAACCTTTTTTATCGTGGACCGAAATTGTAGAGCTCGTAACCGTAGTCTAGATTATAATAAAACCAAATGTGATTAAGTATATTTTTTTTCTTTTCACCTTAAAAAAAAGAAAAAGTCTTGGTCTGAAATTCAGCAAATAATATTAGCACTTGAGAAGAGATCCAAAATATAGTTTAAAATCAAACTCTTGGTCTATAAAGGAGCCTTATACCAGAGATATATTAATATCTATATAATGGCACTACCCTGTTATCAGGCACTGAGAAATACTCTGCGGTGTGTAGCATTACATCAAAATAACGTAGAAACAATTTTTTAAGTTGTAATTTAAGCCGTAACTTCATACTTTGTACTTTTTAAAATTTGCCATAATCAATTCTTGTTTGCAGATGTCTTGTGGCTTAACTGAGCGTCGCCAGAACAACAGAGCCGCAGGTCCCCAAGGGGGAGGTGGTCCTGGAGGGCCTGCAGGATCAGCATGTAGACTGAGAGGTACAGGCACAAATAATGCAGCTGCTGCGAATGCAAGAGGAAGCACGCCGATAACAACAGCCCCCCAAAATGGCCCACAACCAAGTGCTCAGGGACCCCCGCTTAGAGCTAAGCCTTGCTGCCTCTTATGGTGTTGTTGCTGCAAGTGTCCTTGGTAAGATGTACAAAATTTGTTTAATTTAATAATACATGTCATTTGTATTTGTCATAAATGATGGATAAAATAATATTTAATGTACAAGGTGATTCCAAAGGTGAACTTAAAAATTGCTCAACTTTCTTAAGCTTCCTACTCTCCCGAAGTAAGTGTTACATTATTTGTCTATGCGTACGGGTGGACCCAGTGGATGAGTGGATAAAACTCATACCTGTTGTTAATTAAATTCTATTTTTTTTTATTAATTCATAGAAGCTTTTGTAGTTTCATGTTATCGATGTATCAAAACTAAAAACATTTTTTTTTGTAATAAAAAATATAATAAAACTTTATATTCAATTAAAATTATATATTTATTCAATGCAACTTTTACAAAAGATATTTGAATGATTAGGACAAATAAACCTCTTACCTGCTTGACATCTTGTACGAGATTTTCCGTCTTTTTCCCATCCGCAGTCTTTACACCTTCTACGTTTTGGACTTTCATTTGCATTTCCACTTGTTCCAGCGACTGCATGTAAATTTATTTGGATTTTTTGTGGAACGTTTATTGTCATTCAAGTAGTTCGGCATTTTTCTGTTAAATTATATGCCAATTCTTTTATAAAAAGCCTTCTGTTATCTCGTTTGTTTTTATTATATTGAGGATTTACATATGTATAACACATATGCGTTAATTACCGCCAAATCTTAAATATTACAAAATAAACAAAGTGGCATCCTTCTAGTTCCTCTGTTGCAGGTATAAGCTGATGCTAATTTATCTATTGTATCTATATCTCCTTTGGATCTATTGCATTTTAAAATAATGTCTGGTTTCTTATGTTCTTGCAATGATACCTGGTCTTTACAGATTTACCCTCTTTAGGACTATGTGAAACTATCATAGTTTTTGTATACTTCAACCGATCAAGTTAATCAGCAGTAGACAAATTTTTAAAAGAACATAATTCTATTTAACTTAATAATAGAGTAATACCAGTAAGAAAGCTAGTTACCCCGTCACAAAGACTTGTTCTATCCAACGTAACTGCCACAATTTCACATAATTTATTGGAAACCGAGATAAAAACTATTGGATTACAGCTAATGTCACCCCTTACATTCTTACGAATTGGAGCAACCGATCTAGCGTATAGTCACAAACTTAGTTTTCGAAGGCAGATCTTCCTGCCCCAAGGAAACTATCTTCCTTCAGAAGATAGTTTCCAAATTCCCGATACATTAGAAATTAATCATTTCTTACAACAGATATATTATGCTAAAAGTGCAAGCAACCAGGTCATTTTGCATCTCAATGTGCCGGCTTCCAACTCCAGGCTTCAACTTGGAATAAAATATCTAGAACGAAATAGAAACCTAATTAATGAAAACAAAAAAATGTAGAAGAATTAGCTGAAACATACAGACAAGAATCTACAAATGAAAATTACAGCAATACTTTTTTACGTTATCGTGGAGAAGAAGAAGCAAATTCAATAGAAATTATAGCCATTAACGAACTATTAGAAACAATCCAAATGTTAAAAGACACATCACCAGGTTCAGATGACATACCATCATTATTCTTCAAACAGTTACCTAACGTAGCTTTAGACTTTCTATTGAATCTTTTTAATACAATCTGGTGTAAACAAAAAATTCCTGACTTCTGGAGACAAGCTATTGTTATCCCTAAAACCTAACAAACCGGCTACAGCAGCAGAATCATATAGGCCAATATCACTTACATGTGCTACTTGCAAACTGCTAGAGAAAATAATAAATAATAGACTTATGTGGCATTTGAAACACCACAATTTACTTACACCGGAACAAGCTGGATTTCGTCCTTTGAGATCTATAATAGACAATGTTTTACATTTAGAAAGTCAAATTAATGAAGTCTTCTGTAACAAACAGAAATGCATAGCTGTTTACTTTGACATCCACAAAGCATTTGACTTATCATGGCGACACAAAATATTAACAAAGTTGCAGACTTGGAGAATTCAAGGAAACATGTTTGCATTTTTGAATAACTTTCTAAATGAACGCAAATTTTCAGTACGTAGTAATGGAGAACTTTCTAATATTAAGTCTCAAGACAATGGAACACTACAAGGATCAGCAATTAGCCCAACACTTTTTTTAATAGCAATGGATGATGTTATAAAAAATCTCAAGAGACCTGCACAGGCTAGATTATATGCTAACGATATGGTAATGTTTATCAAAAGAAAAAGTATTAACTCAATGGTCAAACTTTTACAAGAAGAACTTAATAAAATCGAAAGTAGGTCTAATAGGGTGGATTCTATTTTTCAGCTGACAAGACACAATATATTATTTTTTCCAAAAATCCTATTCACACTAACATACCTGCTTTAAAATTCGGCACAAAGTTTTTGAAACGAAGCACAGAGATAAACTATTTAGGCATAACATTCGGCGAAATTTTAAGTTGAAAACCACATATTAAAAAATTGGCGATATAATGTCAAAATGGTATAAATCTTCTTAAATTTTTAGCCGACAAACAATGGAGTGCTGACGGAGATACATTATGACTGTTGTATAGAAGCCTAATCCGATCAAAATTGGACTACGGATGCATTGCATATTCTTCAGCATCGAAGTCAAATTTAAAAATCTGAGATATTATACACAACAATGCATGACGCATAATCTCTGGAGCTTATAAAATAACTCCTGTTGCACACTTCGAGTGGGAACTTGGAGAGCCATCATTACATGAACGACGGAAATTACTTAGTCTATTTTACGCTTCAAAACAATCATCACTACAACCTGACAACCCTTTTCTTACTCAGTCATCGTTATCAAATATCAATATAAGAACACATTTATCATTTCAATTAAGGATCAAAAACATTCTAAACTCTTTTGAATTTTTTAACTTTCCCTCAACACATTCAGCAAACGTAAACACGCCACCTCCCTGGTTAATACCTTTGCCTACTTTTGCCTAAATTTAGAACTATCATCATATCATAAATCTGAAACTGATCCACAAATAGTTATAATCAATTATAATAGAATACTTCCTTCTTTCCCTGAATATATCCAAGTTTACACAGATCATTAAAAAACAACTTCTGCTGTAGGATCATCATTTGTTATAAGAGACATAATAAAAAGTTTCAAATTGCCCACAGAATCCACTGTTATAACTGCAAAAATGTATGCAATATACAGAGCTCTAAATCACATACAAACAGTCAAATCAGATAAATTCCTTGTTATTACTGACTCAATTAATTCACTCCATATACTGTCAAAAATGTACACCTGCAACCCGATTGCTAAATTATTTAAAAACAAGATGCAGCAGCTGGAAAACAAAACATTAGTCTTCGTGTGGGTACCATCACATATAGTCATTAAAGAAAACGAACTAGTTGATAAGAATGCTCGAGAAAAGCAAATTCCCCAAATATCAGACCGATAATAAAACTATTAGCAGAAGAGATCTCCGGTATATATACAACAATTTGTTGGGATTCGTATGGTAGACTTGACGTTTTCGTAGATGTAGGCTGTAGCATGTCCTTCATCACATTTGAAAGCATCAGTGAAGATTTGATGGGTTGTTGGGTATTGGGATATTACATTTTTATAAGCTTGCTGTATAAGGAAAGGATGTGTGGAATGTTTCGGGAGTACTTTTAGAGACGTGTCTATTTTTGGAGGCTTGATCATCCAAGGAGGAACATTTACATGAATAGGCATAGTAAGACTGAACTGTTCTATATTAAGACCGATACGTTTTATTCGTTCAGGAAGTTGTAGCTTTTTTATTGCAATGTTTCTGTAAAGATCGGACGATATATTTGTGTTGTTGATAGAAGTTGCCTTCGTTGGCTTGAGGGCAGTTTATTAGCCAGAAACTGTAAGCTACTTACTGGACTAGTTTTTGTGGCTCCTAAAACTAATCTCAAGCACATATTTTGAATGTAGTCAAGTTTTTTTAAAGATGTTTTGTTAGCAGTATCGTAGCATAAACAGCTGTAGTCTAGTTTACTTCGTATTAGTGTTCTGTATAGAGTAAGTAAGGTTGTTGTATCTGCCCCCAAGAGGTATTTGACAGCATTTTTAGTAAATTAATTCTGGATTGGCAAAAACGTTGCAGATGATGATGTGGGTTTCCCAGTTTAAGTTACGTTCAAAAGAAAGTCCTAAGAAATTTATTTCTTCTGCTTGTTTCAGGACAACTCCATTTAGTGTTAATTGTACATTAGGATAATTTTTTCTTCTGCTAAAAATTAAATAACGTGTCTTTTCACTAGAGAATATAAAACCCGTGTTTTGCGACCAGCTTTCAATTGCGTGTAAGGAGTTTGCAGTATGTGTTCCCAGAGTTACATTGTTTGTTTTTAGATAAATGACTAAGTCATATGTATATAGGCTAGTAAATACAGGTAGTTTTATTTTATGTATAATACTATTTATTGCAATTAGAAAGAGAGTGGGAGTTAGAGTAGATCCTTGTGGAGTGCCGTTTTGAAATACTCGTCTGGAAGATGTAAATTCATTGGTTCCAACTCGGAAAGTTCGTGTTTCTAGAAAATTTTTAATAAAGGACTACATGTTCCCTTGAACATCCCATTCTTGAAGTGTTTTTAGTATAAGATGTCTCCATGTTGTGTCAAACGCTTTTCTTATGTCAAAAAATACGGCAATAAGTTTTTGATTGTGCAGAAAGGATTCATGTATACTTGATTCAAGTGTTTAGATTGTCTGTTGTGGATCTACGAAATCCACTTTGTCTGATACTTATTAGGTTATTGTTTTCAAGGTACCACTTAAGACGATAATTAGGGATTTTTTATAAAAGTTTGCAGGTACAATACGTAAGTGATATTGGACGATAGGAATTTGGATCGTCTTTTGGTTTATTATATTTAAGGATTGAAATTATAGTTTCTTGCGACCATAGTTCATGAATGTAATTTATTTTTTATTTGTAATCATTACTGTTTACGTTATATCCATCCTCTAATAACCAACATGCGGCTGCCTTTAAATAAAAAAAATTGAATTGCGCAAAAACTATTCAACCCATCTGGCCTATCTTTTGTACATAATTCAAATAGGATAAGACCCTCAAGTTTAGGTACATCTAAACAAAGTTTACTAAACAATTAACAATAACTCAAAAACAGCGATTTTGTTGTTCATTTTTCAATAATTTTTTGGTTATTCTTCTTCTTTAAGTTCCATCTTCTATCGAAGGTTGGAAATAATCATGGCTATGCGGACTCTGTTGACTGCCGCTCTAAAAAGTTCTGCACTACTGCATTCAAACCATTCCCTTAAGTTCTTAAGCCAGGGTATTCTTCGTCTTCCCACATTTCGATTTCCTCGGATTTTGCCCTGCATAATAAGTTGTAATAATGTCCTGTTGTAATTTTGTCCTCTCATCACATGTCCCAAGTACTCAAGTTTTCGTCTTTTAATAGTTAATATTATATCCGCCTCATTTCCTATCCTTCTAGTTACTTCCATGTTTGACATTCTTTGAATCCATGATATTCGTAGGATTCTTCTGTAACACCAAAATTCAAAGGCGGCCAACTTATTCAGATGAACATGTTTTAGTGTCCAAGCTTCCAAACCATAAAGAAGAGTAGAGAACACGTAACATCGAAGCATTCTCAGGCGTAGTTCTAACCTTATATCCCGACAACAAAGAAACTTTTTAAGTTTAATAAATGATGTACGTGCCATTTCAATACGTTTCTTAATTTCTTTGGTTTGGTCTACATCTGATGTTATCCATGTTCCTAAGTATTTATAGTTATTAACACTCTCAATTGCAGTATCTTCAATAGTCAATTGGATATTTGCATGTGCAGATTTAGTCATGATCATGCATTTAGTTTTCTTTAAATTTATCTTCAGTCCGTACGCATGACAGCGTTCATTAAGGCGTTGCATTACGTTCTGTAAATCATTGTTGTTATCCGTAATTATTACTATATCGTCTGCAAAACGTAAGTTATTAAAAACTTCTCCATTGATAGATATACCTTCTATTGAGTCTGAGAGCGCTTCTTGAAATACCGCTTCACTGTAGACATTGAAAAGTAGTGGGGACAGCACGTAACCCTGGCGGACTCCTCTCTGTATTTTGATATTTTCGGTGTACTGGCTGTTAACTCTTACCTTGGCAGTTTGATTCCAATATAAATTAAATTTTGGTTATTAACCGATGTTAATTTAGTAACTCTCATTTTGTCTATCTCATTTTTTTCAAAAAAATTGTCTGTTAACGTCAAATCTCTAAATGACAGTCTTTTAAGTTACGAGCAAAATAATAAGTTTGACGTTTTGATTGTTTATTTAAGAAAAGTTCCACTAAAAAATTGATGAATCCCTAGATGAGTATTTTTTGTAATATCTCATACTACACATTTCAACTGTTAAACCCGTCTAGACAGTTGTGTAGAGTAAAAATCTAACTTAATTGGCCGAATATGTAGTAGCACCCTGTATATAGGAACCAAAGCAGCAAAGTGTAGTAGTTAACCTCTCCCTGTTGTTTTTATGTTTACTAAGTTGCTACTTGTTTCAGCTCTAACCCTGGAGGTAAGGCAAGTGAGGAGAATGGACCCAATATAAATTCCAATAATTCCGATCTGATGGTGAACTGCGAATTAGAACCACCGTAAGTATTGTTTATTTGCTTTATACTTTTATTTTTAGCTAAAAATAATTACATTAAAAATAGAATAATATTTATATAGTGTAGGTTCTCTCATCTTCCGTCTTTGCCTTGAAGTTTACACAGCTGATTCTCGATAGACGTTCGTTGATTATACAGAGTGCTACACGTTGATCGCACATTAGACTTATTTATGAAAACAATCTGATTTGAAATCTGAACATTTTTACTTCGTCCAAATGAAAGGCCGCTTTCACATTATAGTCGTCTTCTTTTCATGGTGCCCATTCGCAGTATTAATTCTGTATTGACTTCTTTATTGGCGGCCGTCATATTAAACCAATTCTCAGATTTTGAAATCAGAAAATTCGTATATGTATATCCTGGTATATTTCTGCAGTAAATTTTTCCTTGTAACGCCAACTGAATGTTCAACAACAGTATCGCTGATCATTACTCATGATCAAGAAATTACAGCTGTCCTATTCTAATGATCATTAAGGAAATTAAAAAATAGAAAATCATCAGGAGAGGACAGAATACAGAACGAACTAATAAAGTACGGAGGACCAGATCTGACCAAACAACTATTAAAACTAATTCAAAAAATAATACACGTGGAAATCTCCAGCAGATGGAATAGAAGGACGCATCACAAGAAATCAAATCGATTACATAATGGTCAACAAAAGATACAAAAACGCAGTAAAAGCATGCAAGACATACCCCGGAGCTGACATGCCCACCGACCACAATATTCTTCTTGCAACAATTAGGATAGAATTTAAAAAAAACAAAAAGAAATAAGCAAATAATAGCTATTAAGCCAGATAAGCTTAAAGAAGAATCACTAGTAATAAAATACGTGAAGAAATACATAGACACTTGAGTAACAGAACAGTACAATCGACACAAACTCCCGAGGAAGACTGGCACTATATTGAGAAAACACTTACAAGAGTAACAGAAGACTACCTCAAACAAGATACACGAAAAAAGAACAAACCATGGATGACAGAAGAAATTCTAAACATGATGAACGAAAGAAGAAAATACAGAGGTAAAAATGAAACAACATACAAGCAAATACTCAAGAATATCAGAATAAAGATCCAACAAGCCAAAGAAACCTGGCTAAGTGAAAGATGCCAAGAAATTGAAGAGTTAGAACAAAGACATGATACTTTCAATATATCAATTCAACATGACACTACATAAAAAAGTAAAAGAAGCCGCTGGAATATTTAAACAAACTCCTACGTCTTTCATCGAAGATAAACATGGGAACCCGCTACTGAACATAGAAGATCAACTAGGTAGATGGAGAGAATACGTGGAAGAGATGTTTCAAAACCGAGAGATGACGAACATTTACATGCAGGAGGCATCGACTGGACCTTATATCACAAAGCAAGAAATTATCAAAGCGGCAAATCGGATAAATAACGGAAAAGCTGTTGGGGAAGATAATATCCCAATTGAAATAATAAAGATATTACTAGACGAACACATCGAAGTAATGGAAGATATATTTAACAAAATATACGAAACATGCATAATACCAAATGATTGGCTGACATCGGTGTTTATACCACTACCAAAGAAGAGAAACTCCAAGAAATGTGAAGACCATAGGATTATTAGCCTGATGAATCATATGTTGAAGCTTTTCCTACGAGTAATACACAATAGAGTATACAATAAACTAGACGAACACACTGGTCAAACTCAGTTTGGTTTTAAGAATGGGTTCGGAACAAGAGAAGCACTTTTTTCAATATGTGTGCTAGTTAAAAGATTTAGATGTCCATTCTGATATATACTTGTGTTTAATAGACTTTCAGAAAGCGTTTGATCTGGTGAAACATGATAAACTAATAGATATTTTAAGGTCATGTCATATCGACGATAAAGACTTAAGGAATATTTCAAACCTCTACCAAGAACAAAAGGCTAAAATCAGAATAAAAAGCGAAACATCTGGAAAAATCAATATTGAGAAGGGAGTAAGACAGGGATGTGTCCTATCACCTTTGCTGTTCAATGTTTACTCTGAGAAGATATTTCAGAAAGCTTTGGAAGGCACCTCGGATGGTATAATTATAAACGGGCAATGTATAAATAACCTGCGATATGGTGATGACACTGTCATACTGTCAGATAATGCCGAAGCCCTGCAACGCTTAATGGACCGAGTAACGACAGCATGTAGAGAATTTGGAATAAAATTGAATACAAAGAAGACAAAAACGAAGGGTGAAGGTCAATTTCGACGGAACAGATCTGGAAAGAGTAACAAGAACAACGTACCTTGGAAGTAATCTGGATGAAACTTGGGACTACTCACTAGAGATAAGAATACGCGTGGAAAAGGAAGGTACAATGTTTTACAAAATGCAAAAAGTTCTATGCAACCACCAGCTAGGCATCTCATTGAGAACTAGAATACTTACGTGCTATATTTTCTCCACCTTGCTCTACGGTGTTAAAGCCTCGACAATGACAGAAGCAACACAAAAAAGAATCCAAACATTCGAACTCTGGTGTTACCGTAAAATGCTCAGAATATCCTCCATGAGCCATACGACAAATGCGGAAGTCTTGCGGAGGATGAATAAGGATAGAGAGCTTATGCTTATAATAAAAGAACGAAAACACAATATTTTGGTCACATCATAAGAAATCAAAAGTATGAACTGCTCCAACTTATAATCGAAGGCAAAGTCAATAACAAAAATAGGACCAGAAAGAAGACGCAACTCTTGGCTTAAAAACCTACGGCAATGGACGAACATGACCTCCATAGAACTGTTCAGGGCTGCTACAAATAAGATTAAATGGGCAAATGTAATGGCCAACGTCCTTAATGAGGATGAACTCAGCGGAGCTGTTTCACAGAGCAGTCAACAAAACCATGATAGCCTTGATGATCGCCAACACCCGGACCGGATAAGGCACTGAAGAAGAAGAAGAAGAACGTCCTTAAGGATAAGGCACCGTAAGAAGAAGAAAAAATAATAGAACAAAACAGAATTCCTCAAGAATGGAGATCAAGCATCCTAATACCTCTCTTCAAAAAGGGAGACAAATCGAACCCGGAAAATTATATTTACAGAAGAATTAATTTATTAAACACAACACTAAAATTAACAACCAAAGTGATAACAAATAACTAGAATGAGATTATAATACTAGCAGAAGAATAACAAGGTTTTAGGTCGGGAAGATCATGCACCGACGCTATATTTATAATGAGGCAAGTGCAAGAGTTATCATTAGAATACAACAAACCGGCATATCTATGTTTCGTGGACCTTACAAAGGCATTTGAACGGGTCAAATTAAAAGACGTTATCAACTTACTGTATGCAAGAGAGATACCTCTAGGGCAGTGGTGCTCAGACTTATACTGCGTGGGATCTACCACATAAACTGCAAGCGTCCAGAGATCGACTGCCATAACCTGTTTTTAAACCAGGAAGAGTATTGCACATTTCTAGTTGACAAAATGTGGTAATTACAGAGAGTTGTAATTAAAGTCATGTTTTTTATATTAATTTTATTTGGATGTTGATGGATGGCACTGCATATCATCTACAAGTATTGCATATGACGGTACATAATTACCGAGGACCAAACGCAAACATGAAGAGATATGTTTGTCAGTTAGCTGATTTCGATATTTTGATTTAACTATCTTCATTTGGGAAAATGCAGACTTACACAAGTATGTTGATCCAAAGAATGCTGTAAGCTGCAGAGCTACTTGTCTCAAAGGCAGATATTTCTCAGATGATATGATGAAAGACCAAAATTTCGTATCGATCGCTCTGGATTTAAGGTGTATATTCGAAATTATTATTAGTACCCTCATTTTGGACGGAAATGATCTCCATATTGAACGTAACGGATATTTCAGTGGCTATTTTTTCCACGACTTGTCAATAAAATGGATTAGACATGTTACAATATCTGTCAGTTTTTTAAAATCAGCGAAGTGTCTTTCAAACTCGCTATGAAGTGCTTGCAGCTCCGTTTCGTAATAAACATAATTCAAATAACCAACTACCTTTTGTTAACTTTTTTGGAAAGTTGCTAATTGCTAAAAACTTTTTGCTAATTTGCTTAATCAATAATTTCAATTTTGACAAAAGAATGTATTGCGCTTATAATATCGATAATTGTTTAATTTTTACCTATGATTTGTTAAATCTGTTAGGAAAGCTAGATCACTGAGCCATTTTTCGTTTTGAAGTAGATGAGTGTCGTCCCCTCATTGTTCTAAAAAAGAAATTATTTCGGAAAGTAGCTCCTGGAACCTATCTAAAAAATTTCCACGGCTCAACCACCTCACATCTGTATGCAGAAGTAAATCAGTGTGTTCCGCAGAGCCTCTAGGATCCAATTGCGGTTTAAAAATACTTTGTCTTTGATTAAAAAGTAAGCTTCGCGTTCTGATTGAATTCACAATTTTTATTTATTTATTTATTTATATACGGCATCCATTTACTTACAATTTTTATAAAGTTACATCTTAAAAACAATATACCTATTATTAAAATAACAATCACAAGTTTTACAAAGTTACACCTTAACAACAATAAATTATTAAAATAACAAACACCTCAGAATAATACAAACATATAAGAATAATACAGATGTACAACCAACTTATTGTAAGATATTTTTTAGTTGTTTTTTAAACAAAGTAATTTTGGAGTCAAAAATATCTATTTGTCTTGGCAAGCTATGTATTAGCACTCCGGACCAATCGTGTAGTTGGTTCATTGATACCATAATTAGTGTGGTGAAATGGCACGGAAAAGATTTCTGATTGTCTGTTGCTTCTACTAGGAACTTTAAGACTAACAAGCGATAAGAGTTGAGGACAATCTATAAAAGCATTGATAACTTTGTGTAAGAAACATAAATCTAACAATGTCCTCCTTGACTCAAGTGTTGGTAAGTTAAGACCATCTCTTACCCACTGATAGTCGTATTCCTCTC